TGTCTGTTCAGTGTGTGTTGTGTTGATCAGTGTCTGTACAGTGCAGTGTTGATCAGTGTCTGTACAGTCGGTGTTGTGTCGATCAGTGGCTGTACAGTCAGTGAAGTGTCGATCAGTGTCTGTACAGTCAGTGAGGTGTCGATCCGTGTCTGTACAGTCAGTGCAGTGTCGATCAGTGTCTGTACAGTCTGTGTAGTGTCGATCAGTGTCTGTGCAGTCAGTGCAGTGTTGATCAGTGTCTGTGCAGTCAGTGCAGTGTCGATCAGTGTCTGTACAGTCAGTGCAGTGTCGATCAGTGTCTGTACAGTCGGTGTAGTGTCGATCAGTGTGTGTACAGTCGGTGTTGTGTTGATCAGTGTGTGTACAGTCGGTGTTGATCAGTGTCTGTATAGTCGGTGTTGTGTCGATCAGTGGCTGTACAGTCGGTGTTGTGTCGATCAGTGTCTGTACAGTCGGTGTTGTGTCGATCAGTGTCTGTACAGTCAGTGCAGTGTCGATCAGTGTCTGTACAGTCAGTGTAGTGTTGATCAGTGTCTGTGCAGTCGGTGTTGTGTTGATCAGTGGCTGTACAGTCGGTGTTGTGTCGATCAGTGGCTGTACAGTCAGTGCAGTGTCGATCAGTGTCTGTACAGTCGATCAGTGTCTGTACAGTCAGTGCAGTGTTGATCAGTGTCTGTACAGTCAGTGCAGTGTTGATCAGTGTCTGTACAGTCAGTGCAGTGTTGATCAGTGTCTGTACAGTCAGTGCAGTGTTGATCAGTGTCTGTACAGTCGGTGTTGTGTTGATCAGTGTCTGTACAGTCAGTGCAGTGTCGATCAGTGTCTGTACAGTCGGTGTAGTGTCGATCAGTGTCTGTGCAGTCAGTGCAGTGTTGATCAGTGTCTGTACAGTCAGTGCAGTGTCGATCAGTGTCTGTACAGTCGGTGTAGTGTCGATCAGTGTGTGTACAGTCGGTGTTGTGTTGATCAGTGTGTGTACAGTCGGTGTTGATCAGTGTCTGTATAGTCGGTGTTGTGTCGATCAGTGGCTGTACAGTCGGTGTTGTGTCGATCAGTGTCTGTACAGTCAGTGTTGTGTTGATCAGTGTCTGTACAGTCGGTGTTGTGTTGATCAGTGGCTGTACAGTCGGTGTTGTGTCGATGCGTGGCTGTACAGTCGGTGTTGTGTCGATCAGTGGCTGTACAGTCGGTGTTGTGTCGATCAGTGTCTGTATAGTCGGTGTTGTGTTGATCAGTGTCTGTACAGTCAGTGTTGTGTTGATCAGTGTCTGTACAGTCGGTGTAGTGTTGATCAGTGTCTGTACAGTCGGTGCTGTCACAGGTCGGGCCCGGGGTTGTATATTGCTCGGTGTAGTGTTGATCAGTGTGCAGTCAGTACTCCCCTCCCCGCTCTGTGTCTCCTCCCCCCGCACATGCGCACTTCCTCTTTCGGTGATACATTGTAGCAGATTGAGGGACGCTGGTCGGATCCTCCGGGCTCATCATCTTCCTCCTCATCATCATTGTTCCCGGGAAGAGATCATCTGCTTCCCCGTCCACGGGGCCCCACAGGGTGAGGAGAACACCGGCCGGGGCCTATACAGGGGGATGGGCCCTATAGGAGGAATATCAGCACTGATCCTATAGAGGGAATCTGGACCTTATGGGAAGAATATCTGCACGGATCCAATAGAAGGAAGGTGGCCCCTATAGAAGGAAGAAGGACCTTATAGGGGGGGATATCACCCCTGATCCTATAGGAGGAAGGTGGCCCCTATAGAAGGAAGGGGGCCCCCTTCATCCTCCCTGTGCTGGACCATACAGGGCATTGCATACTGTCCAGGAGGTGATCATACAGGATCCTGGACACTATAGAGGAAGCCGATCACCCTATACAAGGAGATTCGACATTGTCCTCACCCATCATGTGGGATCACATACCGTCCTCTACCTGCTGGACCCTATAAAAGGATTCCCAACACTGGATTGTACATCCGGATTTTCCATACCGCCCGGACCCTACAGAGGATACCATTGTCTATACCAAGTGGGACCCTATGGAAGGATTATAATCAGGCGGATCTATATACATCTTCTACAGCACATATCACACAGAATGAC